TTCCCTCATTAATGGCCCTAATTGTTTGGGGTTTTATCTCAAGTCTGTGATCCACTTTGAGTTTATTCTTGTGCATGGAGTGAGGTAAGGGTTTTGCTTCATTTTTCTGCAGGTAGATAACCATTTTTTCCAGCACCATTTATTGAAGATGGCATCTGTTTCCCATTTGATATTTTTGGGGCCCTTATCAAAGATCAGCTGTCTGTATGTTGATGTTTTCATTTCTGGGTCTTCAACTCTTTTCCATTGGTCTGAATATCTGTTGTTATACCAGTCCCACATTGTTTTGACTACTGTGGCCATATAATACGTGCTAAAGTCAGGTAGAGCAAGCCCTCCCACTGTGTCCTTCTTCTTGAGGAGTTCTCTACTAATTCTAGGCTTCTACCCCCTTCATATGAAGTTGGTAATCAGTTTTTCGAATTCTTTAAAGAAGGATGGTGGTATTTGTATTGGGATAGCATTGAACTTACATAGTGCCATGGGCAGAACTGACATCTTTACTATATTGAGTCTGCCAATCCACGAGCATGGGATGTTCTTCCATTTGTTGAGGTCACTCTGTTTCTTGTAGTAGTGTTGTATAATTTTTCTCATACAATTCTTTTGCTTTTTTAGTCAGGTATATCACTAGGTATTTCAATTTGTGCTTGGCTATTGTAAAGGGTACTACCTTTTTAATCATCTCATGTGATCTTGTCTGATGTGTAGAGCAGTCCGATAGACTTCTGTTTATTGATCTTGTATCCTGCCACTCTACCATATTCCTGTATTGTTTCCAACACTCCACTTGTGGAGTTTAGGGGATTTTCGATGTATAGAATCATATCATCTGTGAATAATGATGATTTTGCCTCTTCCTTCCCCAAGAAAATACCTTTGATGTCTTTTCTTTGTCTTATGTTGTTAGCTAGGACCTCCAGTATGATGTTAAATAGGAGTGGGGACAAGGGGCATCCTTGTCTGGTCCCCTTTTTCAGTAGAATTGTTTTTGTCTTTTCTCCATTTGCTACCACATTAGCTGTTGGCTTTTCATATATAGCTTGTATAATATTGAGGGCTATATCTTTTAATAGCCGGGCACCATCCGCCTTCTTCACCATATTTGCTTATGCACCCATTTTGTCTTTAGCAATTGTCAGAGGGTGAACATCTCAGGCTGCCGATTTGTTTTGAAGGAGGGTATGAGCAGAGGCCTGAAGTCCGTCCCCTTACCTTAGTGTATTGCCATATAAATATAAGTACATGGGCCAATACCTCTATTTTTGTGGATTAATGTATTTACATATGTACACCGCTATGTTTATACCTCTATCTATCCATTGTACCGTTGTTGAATTTGGATACCTTATGAATGTCACCTTTAAAATTTGTTTTATGCAATTATATAAATATTGTAGTTATTTGTAGTATAGTTGCTCAGTGGCACACATGGTGATGCACACTAGTACTGGTCAAAGACTGATAGTTCAGCCTTACCCAGCGGCCTGGAGATATGCTTCCAGAAGGTCACACACAGCGGAGAAAAGCCTATGGGGCAGTTCAACTCTGCACACATGTGGTCATTATAAGGTGGAACTGACTCCGTAGCCACTCACAACAATCTAGTAGGAGCAACAAAGCAGTAAATATACAACTAGAAACTTGTCTGCAAAGGTCAGGACTTAACTCTGGAATCAAATATTATAGGCTTGAAACCTGGCTCCTGAGTAATTTGCTGAGTGTCTCAAACTATAATTTCATCATCCATTAACTGGGAATGATGATAATGAGGCATGCCTCACATGGTTATTGTGAAATGTAATACATATAAGAACTGTTAAGTGAGTGTTCTGTATTTTTTAATAACAATTCAAAATACCCTTCACACTTTACTCATGGGTTATCATCTTTTATATACCAGAATCAAACTCACTGCTATCAAGTCGATTCTGACTAACAGCAACCCTATCTGACAGGGTAGAACTATACCAGCGGGTTTCTGAAGTTATAACTGTAATCGCTTTTAATTTTTCTTATATGTACTTTTATATTTAAGGTTAACATTCAAAATACGTAATATTTAATAGATGTATTTCTTTATGTAACTGGTATGTATAAACTGAAACTAAACCAAGCCAGTTATCCTTGAGTTCCTTCTGATTCATAGCAACACCATGGCTACAGAGTAGGATTGCACTCTGTTGTATTTTCAAAGCTGTGTCTTCGGTGATGTAGATCTCTAGGTCTTTCTTAAGGCACACAGCTGGATCCGTTCAAACTGCCAGCCTGTAGGTTAGTAGTTTAGTACTCCACCATTTGTGCTTCCTGGGGATCCTGTGTTATATAGACATCCTGTATTTGCTCACAGCCTTTCTTTCCTCTCTTCCTCTCTTTCTTTCTTGTGTGACAGTGTGAAAATGCAACACATACATATGAATATGTATAAATAGATGCTTCTCTCCTTTGCTCACATTCTTCAAAATTCTCCAGTTTCTGTGACAGCTAGAAGGATTGGCTAATTTCCAGGATGAACAGAAATACAGGGTAAAATATATCTCCCAAATGACCTCAACCTATTCTAGCTTGGTACTATTGCCTCAGTTCCAACTCCTAGTGATTCTCTTGGCCAGAGTAGAACTTATTTGCCCCATAGGATTTACAAGGCCATAAATCTTTGCGGGAGCAGACTGGTACATCTCTCTCCTGGAGAGTAGCTGGTAGGTTTGAACCAGTGATCTTTCTGTTAACAGCGAGGCCCTTAACCACAGCACCAACAGGGCTCTTTCCCCTACAACTATAGTGGCATTGTTTTGACATATTTTCATCATTTTGGTGCAGTGTACTCAAAGAACAAAACAAAATCAAAACCCCCCCAAAACCCAAAGAGGCCTCTGCCATCAACTCAGTTCTAATCTATAATGAGCCTATAGGGCAAGGGAGAACTGCTACTGTGGGTTTCCCAGACTGTAGTGCTCCTTATAGGATTAGAAAGCCCCATCTTTCATCCTCAGAGCTGCTGGTGGTTTCAAACTGCTGACCTTGTGGCTAGCAGCCCAACCCCCTATGCCACCAGGGCTCCTTTGGGTACAATATAAACCAAAGCAAACTCACTGTCACCGAGTCAAATGCTGACTCACAGTGAGTTTCCGAGATGGTAACTGTTTACAGGAATAGAAAGCCTAGTCTTTCTACTGCTTCTGGTTTTGAACTGCCAACCATACATATCGAAGCGCAACTTGTAACCACTATACCACCAGAAGGCTACTTTGGGTACAGTATAGCAACTTGTAATTGTTTTTATCTGTATTTACTTTATTTTTATCTTTATCTTTAGGAGTTTATACCATGATATTAAATATAAATACTATTTTCTGTTTTCAGGGGGAAAAGGACAAATATTTTTTGTTTTTTACTTCTTTTCTTTCCAAGTAGTTCAACAAGTATCTATTCCATTGTTCTGAAATCTTCCATAGTTTTCCTTATCAGGTTTTTAAAAAAAACTTTCATTGTGCATTAGGTGAAGGTTTATAGAGCCAATCTTAGTTTTATATTCAACAGTTCATATGTTTCATTCATTGTAGTCCCTTCAATGTACCATCACTTATCCCACTTCTTCCTGTAGTTCCTGTTTGCATTCCTCCTTCTGTCTTAACCTTCTGAGCCTTGTCTGTGGGTAAATGCTGCCCTTTTGATCTTGAATGGTTGGTTATTCCAACATATTCCAACTCCGTTCCATACCTGAACGGTAAGGGTCAAAGCCTTTGGGGTCTCACCAACCTCTATCTGATCTCTTTTATGATTTTGAGTTCTACTCTACATTTTTTTCCTACTCTTACCAGAACCTTCTAATGTGATTATCTACCGAGAAGTTGGTAGTGGTAGCCAGGTGCCATCTACTTCTCTCAGAATTGTAGAGATCGATGTTTGTGTGGTCCATTAGTACTTTGGCCTTATCATCATTTTTGTTTGGCACAAATTTTAATCACTTTCCACATGGTGGACTGATATGAAATCTGTCACCAAATATATAATGAAATTATATAGCTAGATTTATATTTTTGTTTTTATTTAAACATAAATAGATTTTTATTTATTTTTAGTTAAAAACAAATTAACTCTGATGTATTAGAAAATGAAGTTTTAATTGGTATAGGATAGAGTAGTGGGCCAGTAACATAAGGGAAGTGATAGGAATTGTCATAACTATATAAATGGAATTTAAAAAATTCGTTTGCATATAATTTTCACTAGTATAATTTATAAAATTCAGTATGCATGTTGTTTGTTTATTTGCTTGTTTTTGCTTTGAAAAATACTAATAATTTTCCTATGTTTTATCTTGGCAGATGGTTTATTGTTCTTTGACAGATTTCCAGAAAGCTGTCTATCAAACAGTGTTAGAAACAGAAGACGTAACTTTAATACTTAAGTCTTCTGAGCCTTGTACCTGCAGCAGTGGTAGAAAAAGGAGAAATTGTTGTTATAAGGCAAGTATTATAGTCTGATTATCTTTGCTACCTGGCTTTTAATTATCCATTACTTTCTTCTGGTGTCAGGGTAAATCACAAATAAATTAACTTCTCCCCAGGTAGGTCTTTTGATAACTGTTAAAAAAAAAGTAATAGTTTTCAAAAACATTGTAAGATATCAAATAGTTGTTACATATAAAATACAACATCCAACTATCCTTTCAAAAAGGTGTTTTTGAAAGTAGACTTTAATTTTATATTCTCCCTTTTAACTTTCCGTGGGAAATATCCTACTTTCGTCTTGGCATGTTATTTTATTTTTAGGAAATTTCTCACCTATTAATAGTATCTAACGTGTTCTTTGATATGCTTAAAATATTTTGATATGACCTAAGTGTCAATTTAATATAAATTGTATATCAGTGAACTAGAGAAAGTATATTTTACTTTTATCAGATGCATATTTGTTTGTACTTTTTTAAACCTTTTATCTGTATTTCAATGCTCTTTTTAAAATCTGTTTTATTATCAACGTATCTGTCAAATATGTATGGATGTAGAAGGGACCTAAGTAAACATTTATCTTGCCTCATATCTATTCCATCTCCTTTATTTTGCTTCTTGGAACCACTTCCTTTTATGAGATAGCCGTGTTCCCTGGGAAACCTTGCAGCATACATGGGAGGAGAGAGTTAAAGGAATCATAGGACATTGCCACTGCGCAGAGAATTGTATTATTAGAGAGCTCTTAACTGCAGAATTTCTGTCAATCACTTTGTGTCCTGAGGATAATGACTATGAAATGGAGACTTTCTATTTGTTGTACTAAAAACCTCACTGGAGTAGAATTGACCAAAAGTTTTATTTCCTATTAGTGATTCCTGCATATTTTTTTTATCAACAGTTTACCATCTGTTTTCTGAAGTGATTTATTTTGTAATGTAAGCAATTACATATCTATGTTAATAATTTACTTGTTTTTATTTTGTATTTTTCTGATTGCAGACTAATGCCCAAGGTGAAACTGTGAAAACCTTGTATTTCAGTTACCTTGTAGTTCTTCAGAAAGTAGCAAACCATGTCGCTCTACTTCAGGTGGCGAGCGCCTCTGAGCAGCAGGTTTGGGTTGGAGTTTTTTATTCCTTTGTGATGTTACTTGGTATAAAAATTTTATATTTCTTGTGAAATTTCTCTTAAAAGAGCCTTAGTGGTACAAACGTGAAGCACTCAGCATTGACTCTTTGACACTAATAACAACCTAAAATCTCCTTGGCAAATATCCTTAAGTTCTTTTTGTCTGACATTTAAAAGAAAATTGGCTTACTCATTTTTAAATTTAAGTGTGAAAGAATATGCAGATTTACTTTTTAAATCAAAGTGAAAATTTTATGTTTTAATTAAAATCATACTTTTCTGTGATGCCTCTTGCAATGTTCATAGATTTATTTTCTCTACATCATTTTTGTAACTACTAAATAATATTTGATGATCCATTCACATTCTATTAGTGTGCCTCATAACAAATATGTAAACTGCTGCATTTAGATGAGGATTTATAATAGTCAGTATATTGAATATTAGCGGTATTCTCCAAACTGGAAAAAAATCAGTAATCTGTTTAACTACAAATGCAATCATTTCTTTTGGTCGTGTTCAATTTTTTCATATTCTAGAGTACATAAAAAATTTTTAGTTTTCATAATGACTCAATTTTTAAATATGATCTCTTTTGTGTTATTGTTTTGATGGTGTTTGAACTTACTAAGAATTTAATATTCTTAGTATTTTGTGCTCTTTGGGATCAATATCTAAGATTTTAGCAAAACCATTCTTGCATAACAGATTAAGATGTTTTAAAGTATTTTCCTGCCTTATAAAAAGGCAAAATCTTCAGAGTAATTTCAATTTACATAGATTTACATAATTTTAAATGAAATTTATTCTCCCCCCCCCCCCTTTTCTTTCAAGAAAACACTTATCAACAGGATATGTGACCAGGTATTTTCCAGATTCCCAGATTTTGTTCAGAAAAGCAAGGATGCAGCTTTTGAAACAATTTCCGATCCCAAATACAGTGGGAAAATGAAGGTAACTATTTTTCTTTGCAACTGTACACTGACAGAGCTCATATAGAAAATGTTTATCAAATCAGATGGCAAGTGATCATATGGCATATATATGATCAGAACAACTGCCCCATCAGTGAAAAAGAGGGTGGCTGAAGACACTTTGTAGGTGTAAACCCACTATACACATAGGTAGTCATGCCAGTTCTTCAAGTTTTCCTTATGTTTGGACTGGAAATGCTCTTTAAAAAAATATATGCTATTGCCATATATATATTAGCTTGACTCAAATGTTTGAGGCATATATGCATGAGAAATAATGTTAATGTTAAAGGCATTCCTTTGGAAGTATGAAAAAGAACTTCTTAAATAGTTCATGGTAGGCAAAGACTCTGTGTCTAGTTTAACTTTTCTGCCTCATATTTTTGCTTGCTTATCCAGATTATCAGGGGCGCTGGTAGAGCTTCCTTGAAGCAAAATTAAGTATCAACAATCTTTATGGATTTAAAATTTTTTATAGAGCAATCTCAACTTTAAGTCGACTCAATGGCACTGGGTAATGCAAATAAAACTTACATGTTCTTCAAAGGTTTAACTATGGTATGCTTAATCTGTGACATTTTTATCCACCTTTTGATTGACTGTCAAAATAGAATTTATGTCTTAGATTTCATACCTTTTGGGGAGTAGGGCTCAAATTTAGCATAACACAAAGATAGTATATCAAATATAAATTTTCTTTAACTTAAAAGTTTGAATAAATAAAATTGCTTAAAGTGTTATTGTGTAGTTTAGAAAAACCTTAACCTTACTACAGCAAAGAGTGTTTCGTTTTGTTTCTTCTCCTTTTTGGGTGATTTTCTATGGTGTGCTGGACCTGTCATTGCCAGATGAGGAACTGCCTCTTTAAAAAAATAAGTGTCACTCTTATACCCTAGTCTTTGGATTATATTCTTCCAGAAAACACTGTGTGTGTGGACAGATTATTGACAATTTGAAGTCAGATTTGAGTCTGAAAGTCAGGGCATACTGTAAATAGAGAAACAGTAGGGAGAAGGTGAGATGAGGCATATATCTGACTGCTAATTTAAAAAAAAGCCAAGACTTTTAGAGCCTACATGTAACTGAACGTATTTCATTGCATCTACCTAGAGAAAATTTAAATACTTCCTAAAAGGAATATTATTCTTAACATATTGTAGGTATAAAGAAAATGTATTTTGGAAATTAAATTAATCCATTTAAATGCATCCCATGATCTAAATGCTTCCATTTTATCAAAACCAGATGAGATGAAATAAAAATCTTGGGAAACTTTACAGGCTTATTGAAAATATGATTATAAATAACATTTGATGTAATATTTAATACTTAATTTCTCTAACTTGACAAAAATGAGAAGAATTAGAAAAGCTGACTGAGCTTATTGTTGTATAAAAATAACTTTTATGAAATTCTCAAGTGATGTTTCTCTGTAGAAGGTGTGCTTTTAATTGGAATCAGTTCTCTGTTGCTCTGTGGTTCATTTCCAGGTCCTTGAGCAGCTTTTAAATCATTGCAGAAAAAACAACGATAAAGTTCTTCTATTCTCCTTTTCCACCAAGGTGAGTTTTGTTTGAAGTATATTCTTGATCCGCCTCAGTCCAAAGTCCTAAGGCATAAAGCACAAAAGACATCAGCAGCTTCCAGCCACACACTCCTTCTCTTGCACACGGTAGGAACTGGTGGTGTGGTAAGCATCACGAAGTTTGATAACATACATAAAGCTCACGCACACTATGGGTCCTGCCAAAAAGCAAACCCAAAGGTGCCTTTTTATTTTCTCTTGATGTGTTTGTAAATAATAACTGTTCTTCAAGACTCTGTAGTGAATTTAGAAAATGACACAAATAATATAGCTATATGTATGTGATTTAGCCAATACTATTATTTTTATTTGATTTTTATTAGTTTATTTTTGTTAAAAAAAAAAAAGGATGATTGATTCCTTCTCACCTGCCTTTGGAAAGGTTACTACAAGTTAAAGTCAGTTTCAGGATAATGGAGAAACATGTGGGCCAGAAATGAGAAAATGATCAATTGCTCTTGTAGCTATAGGAAAGAGTTGGTGAGCAACAATCTCTTGCTCTCTGTATTGGTACGGAAACCATTCAGCTCACAATGAGTATCTGCTGATCCTTCATCTAGCTGCTGGATGTGCTGCAGCAGTACTGCATGGCAGCCGGGCTTGATTTCCGACGGCTTGATGGCAGTACAAAATCGGAAGAAAGAATCAGAATTGTGAAAGAATTCAACAGTACACAAGATGTTAACATATGCCTCGTCTCCACAATGTAAGGATAACCATTTTTATCTAATTGTTTTTAAGATTCAGAATGGTCTTTTAATGATCACTACATTCCTTTTTTTGTTTATATTGCCTCTGCTTGTATTTTGTTTATGCTTTATATTATTTTGTTTATATTGCTTTGTTTTATTTTGCTTTAAGGAAAAGTAGTAAAAAATACCATTAATTATGGCTCAATCTACCATCTTTTCCTTTATCATTAATGAGTTCGTCTTATATTAATCTGGGTTTATATTGCTATCAATTAAAAAATTGATCCTTCTTCCTGGGAATTTTCCATCTTTATAACTGGATTACAGAATCATCTGTAGCCTGGCTTCCCAGTTCTGCATACAAAGTTCTAGAGAGCTTGGTGGGCCAGGTGTTTTACATCCTATGCCTCTTTGTTATCTCAACCATAGTAAGTCCACTTTTCATAGGTTGTATAAAAGTTAAAATGGGAAGATTTAAGTCAATGTAAACACGTAAGTAAAGTTAATTCCGTTTTTGGTGTCACAAATCCATAGCTTTTGACATCTAACGTAAGATTTCTTTAGATTCACTCTCCTCTATTTACAAATTATCGAGGGTTCATGAGGGAGTGGGGGGTGGGGCGGGAGGGGAAAAATGAGGAGTTGATGCCAGGGGCTCAAGTAGAAAGAAAATGTTTTGAGAATGATGGTGGCAACAAATGTATAAATGAGCTTGACACAATGGATGGATGTATGGATTGTGATAAGAGTTGTACAAGCCCCCAATAAAATGATTTAAAAAAAAAGAATTTCAAGGGATTTGAAAAATTAACCTGTAAAAAGAAGAAAGTAAAATGAAATCAGCATATTAGAAATAAAATGATGCATGGAATGAGTGCGTATTGTTATTGTTAGGTGTTGTCAGGTCAGTCCCAATTCATAGCCACCCTGTGTACAGTTGAACTACATACAACCTCATATTGCACCACCCTCACAGTCATTAGTGTGCTGGAGCCCATTGTTGCAACCCCTGTCTCAATCCACCTCACTGAGGGTCTTCCTCTTTTGTGCTGACCCTCTACCAAGCACGATGTCCTTCTCTGCAGCATCTCATGTCCAAAATGATGAAACAAAGTCTTGCTAGTCCTTGCTAGTCCTGCTTCCTCCAAGACCAATTTATTAATTTTTCTGATAGTCTATGCTACACTTAATATCAACTCAACAAAAATTCACAGGGGCAGTTCTACCCTGTCCTGTATGGTCTCTACGAGGCAGCATTGATTCAAGGGCAGTGAGGACAGTGAAATGATGGTACTTTGAGATAATGGAAATGGATGTGAATTGGGGCACGTAAATCTAGGATCTGTCCTGTGAACTTTCACCTAATTCACAATTAAAAGAAAAAAATAAAGAAACTCAAGATAGATCACAAATCTAATTGTACAACCCCAAACTATAAAGATCATCAAAGGAAACATAGGGACAAACTTAAGGAACCCACAATGGTATAAATATACTAGCAAGCATAACTAAAAATATACAAATAGTAGAAGACAAACTAAATGTTTTGGACTTCTTAAAAATTAGCTAATACCTGTAAGCATCAAAAGTTTTCACCAAAAGAATAACACTGGCTCTTTAATGGACTATTTATATATTGGGAAAGGAGTGGATTTTTCAAGAGAGGATCCAAACTGAGTTGTCATATAAGTAGTGAGCGCATGAATGTAGAACTCAAGAGAAAGGCTTGTAGGGGTGATATAAGGTCTCCACAGGAGGATGTGGAGAGAAGATGAAAAGATGAGTTTAAAGTGACACAACCCATAAAGGCCACTTCAAGAAACTGTTCAGCAAAGAAGTAGAGAAAAGTTACCAGTGAAGTAGCTGGACAACCAGTATAGTGCAAATTTATTAAAAAAAACAAGCGATAAGAGTATTTAGAAAAGGAAAGAATATTCAACACTTTTGAATTCCAATAGGGGTGGTGAATAGTAGAAAGATAATCTCTGGATCTGACTTTCATTGGTGAGCTTTTTCATTGGTAGCATTTTAGGAGTGATGGTGGGGGAAGGCACTTTATAGAGAGGTAAAAAAAAAAAAGGGAGACAATAAGATGGAAATCTTAACTTGTAACTTTCTTTGCTAGCTATGGTGGAAGTCCATGAAATAAAGGAAGTGATTAAAGGGAAGTGTGGGTTTTATGGTTTTTAAGATAGAGCTTTGTTACTCGAATTCGACCTTGAACTAGTCTGGCTAGACCAGAGGATGTACACTGGTACAGATAGGAACTGAAAATACAGGGAATCCAGGGCGGATGAGCCCTACAGGACCAGTGGTGTGAGTGGCGAAACAGGGAGGGTAAAGGGAGAATGGGTAGGAAAGAGGGAACCGATTACAAGGAACTGTGTGTGACCTCCTCCCTGGGGGACAGACAACCGAAAAGTGGATGAAGGGAGATGTCGGACAGGGCAAGATATGACAAAATACCCATTTATAAACTATCAAAGGCTCATGAGGGAGGGGGGAGCGGGGAGGGAGGGGAAAAATGAGGACCTAATGTCAGGGGTTTAAGTGGAGAGAAAATGTTTTGAGAATGATATACAAATGCACTTTACACAATTGATGCGTGTATGGATTGCGATAACAGTTGTATGAGCCCCTAATAAAATGTTTTTTAAAAAAAAGTCTATTTAGGGGTGAGGCAACTAATTAGCATATTGAGCATGTAAAGAAAGTATCTGAATTCAAAATTCAAAAAAAAAAGAATAATTCAAATTACTTAAATACAGTAAATTCTTATTTTGAAGTTTTTTTAAAGTATATTTTGTATGATAGGTTAAGAGATGAGGTTTGGTGTAGAATGTTATGGGAGTGTGGTAAACAGAGAGAATTCAAGCCAAGGGGCCTCACTATTAATAAGAATGCAGTTATGATTCCCAGTGTCTGGTATAAAGTACCAACACAGCTGGACTGCAAAATTAATAATGCAGCATCGAGATTGTTAACCACCGATGGTACGCAGATGACACAGTCATGTTTGCTGAAAGTGAGGAGGCCTAGGCACTTTTGATGAAAACCAAGGATTGCAGCCTTCAGTATGGGTTAAACATCAACATAAAGAAAATAAAAATCCTTACAACTGGACTATTAGATAAGTAACATCATGATAAACCTAGCACAGATTGGCCAGGACTTTATCTTTCTTGGATCCACAATCAATGCTCATGGAAGCAGCCGTCAAGAGATTAAAAGAAGAGTTGCATTATGTAAATCTGCACTTTAAATGTTGAAAAGCAAGGAAGTTACTTTGTGAATTAATGTGCACCGTACCTAAGCCATGATATAGTCAGTTGCCTCATATGCATGTGAAAGTTGGACGCTGACCAAGGAAGACCAAAGAATAATCCATGTGTCTGAATTATGGTGCTGGTGAAGAATGTTGAAACTACCATAGATTTCCAAGAGAAGAAACAAATGTGTTTTTGAAGAAGTACCACCGGAATGTTCTGTAGAGGCAAAGGAAGGGGAGGCTTCCTCTCACATACTTAGGCCATGCCAAGATAGACCTGGAGAAGGACATCACTCTTGGTAAAGTAGAGTCAGAAAAGAAGAAGACCCTCAACAAGATGGATCAACGCAGTGGCAGTAACACAGGTCTCAAATGTAAGAGCAATGGCACAGGATCAGGCACTGTTTCATTCTTTTGTACATAGGGTTGCTATGAGTTGGTAATGATTTGGGGGTCAGCTAACAACAGCATTAGTTAATTGCCTTTACTTTGCTCAAGACCAATTTTTGTATTAAAAAATCTGAGACTTTTAGTTATAATGTTTTTTATTATCCAATGAAAATCTTGACAAATATCATACATGTTTTAGACTTCAAACTGCCCAGATTAATTTTCTTCTGAAAATATCAATGGTGAGTTAAAACATGACAAATAAGTATGGAACCTTGTTTCAAATGAAATACTCTTCTACCATCTACTGTAATATATTTGGATGGCCCTTTTGTGGTGGAGGTTAAAACATGTATATACTAGAGCAGTTAGCTAATACATAGTATGGCTGGTCCTTATAATTACTAAGAAACTATTTTTATAAATTGCATATCTACCCTGAAGTTTACAAGATATTAGATTAATAATATTAGAATTTCTAATAATGAGCCATATAAACATTAGCGTATTTTTTCCTTTACTTTTTATTGTGAATTGGGTAAAGATTTAGAATAGATCACCAATTTTACATTTCACAATTCATGCTCGTTCTTTCAATTCTCTCAGTGAATCACACTTATCCCACTGAACTTTGCCCTTTCGGAAATGCTGCCCTTTTGATCTGAAAGTGTGGATTATTCTAAGGTGTTCATACCTCCCTAATGTTATAGGCCTGTTTGTTCTTTGGCTGAAAAGTGAGTTGGGGTGAGTTCAATTCCAGACCTGAAGGGTAATTAGGTCTATAGTCTTGGGGTTCCTTCCAGTCTCTATCCAACCAGTAAGCTTGGTTTCTTTTATGATTTTGAATTTTATTCCACATTTTTCTCTCATTCTATCTAAGACCTTCTAATGTAAAACCAGTATTTTGATGGTTCCGATTCTAAATTAAAAGGGGTCCAATGGCATAATGGATTGCGATTTGAGCTGCTAAATGATTCCACTAGCCCCTTTGCAGGAAAAAGATGAGGCTTTTTGCTCCCTTAAATATTTACAGCTTCTGGGGTCTTAAAAGCTTGAAGGAAAACAAGCGGCCATCTAGCTCAGAAGCAACAAAGCCCACATGGAACAACATATCAACCTGTGTGATCACAGGGTGTCGAACGGATCACTGAAGACAAATGGGTGCATAAGCAAATGTGGTGAAGAAAGCTGATGGTGCCCGGCTATCAAAAAGTATAGTGTCTGGGGTCTTAAAGGCTTGAAGGTAATCAAGCGGCCATCAAGCTCAGAAGCAACAAAGCCCACATAGAAGAAGCACACCAGACTATGTAACCACGAGGTGTCGAAGGGATCAGGTGTAAGGCATCATCAGAACAA